GCGAGACAGCGAAGCCGCAGCGGCGGCGAAGAGGCGGCGCCCGGCGCTGGAAGCGAACGATGGGGCGAAGGTGCTGCGTGACCTCGAGGAGCAGATTCGACATGCCGGTGCCGCTATGAAGGCACAGAAGGAGGCCGCAGTTGCGGCGGAAGCGTTTCCGTCGAACAAGCGAGCCCTAGCGCAGTGGAGTCTCGCGGAGTTCAAGGCCGAGAAGAACATGATGGCATCATTGGATCGCTTCGCTCGCGCAAAGGGCGCCCTCTCGGACGCGCAGAGGGGAGGGGGCGGGCGTGGTTCAAGACGCACTGGGGCGAGGAGATGAGCCAGGAACACCGGGAGCAATGGCCGTTCACGTCTGCTGGGTGGCTGCGGCGCCTGAAACACGCTCGGCGCTGTCGCAATTCTCGCTCGCGCGGAGACACTGACCTCGGGCGGACATATGGCGCCGGCAATCCCAGCCATGGACCCTGCAGGCCGCAGTTACTGACGCACGGGACGTTCAGCATGAGCGCGGTTTTCCAAGCGGCCCCCGCGCGGGCGGGAGGTTCGGCGAAATCTGCGCTGCGGTGCAAAAGCGCAGTTGCGGTCTTTCAGCTGCTGCGAAAATAATACATACACAGTCCCTTGCAGTCCTCGCCCTCCTTCTGCCTCTCCGCCAATCTTCTTGTCGTTCTTCTAGTTTTAGTTCCGTGCAGTCCCCGGCCCCCCTCGGCCCCTCCCCACATCCTCCAGCCCCCTCTCCTCCCGCCGTTCGGACCCACCCCAATTTGCGCTCAATGTCCTCGGCCGCCTTGTCTCGAGGCGGCGCGCGCGCGCGCCCCGCCACGCGGGCCCCCGCGCGCCCGGCCGCGCCCCTTGGGAGCATGAGCGGTGGAACCCGATCAGAGAGGAGTTCATCCACCTGGACGAGGAAAAGAGAGACGATCATGAGGACACCGCAGTCGCGGAAGATGACGACGGCCAGGGGGCGCAAGCTGGCGACAGCACCGCCGCGCCTTCGGCTGCTTCCGCTGACGAGGCGGAAGACGGGGCGAAGCCGCAGAGAGGTTCGGGCACCGTAGTTGCGGCGGAACGCGACTTCAACATGCCCAAGGCAAAGTCGAAGACGCGAGTCTGGAAGCGGGCGCCCGTGATGGGGGCAAATAATCTGCCGGAGAAGCAGAGGAACCGTGTACAACAATGGGAAACAATAGCGGAGTTCCAAGCAGGACAGACCGCCTTCCACGTGGCCAACTTCGGACCGTTGGCAGCTGACCCCAGGCAGCGCGCTAGCGAGCGGGCGCAGCTCCACGCGAACCCTGCCCAGATCATCACCTCGCACGTGCGACGATGCGACGCGCGAGGTTCTCTCTGGGGGTGCGAAGCGAGTGCCAGCGCAGCCGCAGTCGCGGGCGATCACGTGCAGAATCGGCCCCGCAACACCTGCCTGTGCGTCGAGGGCGGCGGGCCCTCAGGGGCCTTCCTGGCTGGCATCAGAGACCGCAGTGGCGACCGTATTGAAAGCGTCGGCTGTGCGAGGCTCTCCCACCAGCGGGGGAAGTCCAAGTCGAAAAAGTGGCGCAACAAGTACTCCAGGGCGATGGCGGTGCGCATCCTCCTGGGCCATGGCGGGCCCCAGCTGAGGAGCAGCTTCAACGCCGTGGCGGCGCGCGTCCACCACGGCTTGGCCAACCGAAGCTGGGGCGTCAAGAAGCTCGCAGAGTTGCGCGACTGGTTTGTCGACTGCGTGAAGACATGGGGCGCGCAGGTCTGCGCAGGAGGATTTCAGCGCGCGCGTGCCCCAGCTTGCGCCGAGGCGCCGCATGCGCGGACTCACTGTGGGCGTCGCCGCGCGGGCCCCCTGGAAGACGGCAGGCGGCCAGCCCAGGGCAGACAGCATGGCGATTATGTTATTCAGCTGCCCCGGGGAATGCGAGCTTCTCCGCAGCTTGGGCGCCCTGCGCGACCGCGAAGGCGGGTTGTTGGCGACCTCGCGTGGCCCATATTGCCTTGTCTTCGACTGCGCGAATGGCCCGACCCCGCAGATCTACGCGCCTAAAGCTGAGCCCCTCGACGTCAAGATGCGCGCCGTCCTGGCGCCGCCTGGCGCCTCCTTGACCGCAGTTCCGGACTTCGCGCGGGCGACGGCGAACGGGGGGCCCCGCGAGGGGTGGGCGCGCCCCCCGTCGCAGTCACGAAGGAAATGGTGGACGAGAAGATATGGCACGACGCCCTCGGCAAGGCGCGAAACGGAGCGCGCTCCCCCCTAGCGGTTTTAACGCGCAGTACGGGCCGCATGTCACTTGAAACATATGCAGAAAGGTTGGAGAAGCAGGCGCAGCAGGGCCGCGAGAAGGGCGGCAAGAAGGGCGGCAAGGAGGGAAGCCACGCCGACGCCGCAGCGGCGGGGATGGGCGCCCAGGCCCAAATGGGAACCGCAGTTGCGGGGGAAGGCGCTGAAGCTGAGCGAACTTGGAACCCGCGGCCGCCGCAGGCTGCCAACGGCGACGATGCGACCATTTCTTACGCCGCAGTGGCGGCTCGGTCCTGCGGCGCCAGCGGCGGCTGCGCACAGGGGGCACGCGGTCCCGCGACGGGATGGCAGGATTGGCCCCAGTGGTCCCAGTGAGACTTGCACTCGACGGGTTTGCAGGATTGGCCCTGGTGAAACGGATCGCGCCGCAGTTGTGGTTCGTTGCGCGCGCGTGGACTGGGGGTTCTCGCGCGTGGACGGGGTAATTGCGAGATCGAGCGGGGCTCCACGCAAGGAGCGGGCTCCCGTGGTCTGTCAGCATGATGCATCATGGCCGAAGTTGCGGTCAAACGGCAAGACGTAGGCCTTATACGCGCAAGGTGGAACACTCATCATCTTCATCACCATCCTCCTCCTCATCACTATCATCATGTTCATACCTGTTGGTCGTCATCATCACCATCACAACCATCAGCAGCAGCAGCATCATCACTATCGTCCGATGTCGTTTGCGAGACTCCCCGGTTACGATGTTCACAGCAGTGCCAGGACACTGCTTTGCAGCTGATTGATGGCGTTCCAAACAGTGCCAGGGCACTGCTGTGCATCGCCCCCTCGCCCGCACGAGATGGGCCATAGGATTATGACCCTGATTACATGTTTCGATGTGAAAATACAGAAAAAGAGGCCATAACATCCAAGTTGCTGTACGGGGGATGTTCTGGTTTGCAAATCGATACGCCCTCCATCAGTGTAAGCACTGTACCAAGTCACAAATACTGTTTTACAATCACAGGAGGTCTCATGCGAGACACACTTTTAAAAAGGAGACGCCCCCCTATCCGTATATTGTTGAATCGTTTCGACTTTCGGGTCTCACTCGTATGTAAGTTTTCCAGCGGTAGCATCGTTTTGAAAACGAGCCGGCCTCTATGCGAAAAATGGTCGCAGGTTTTCTGAGCAAATTTGCGCGGCGTTTAGGCGATGACCCAATTCTGGCATCGGCCCTTCTCCATCCGCTTAGCTATCCGGTGTGCGCTTAGTTGTCCATCCGCTTATCCGTCGCGTGTGCGCGGCGCCACGGTGACAGTCCCTGTTTTAAAGAACGAGCTGTGCCCCAGCCGTGCAGCAGGGGGGGATTTCGAGATGGTCTTGTTGTTGGGGACGTCTCGGGCGAAACGCCTGGCCCGCCCTAGAGACGCGCGCGGCGGTGGGACGGGGAGGAGCTGTTCACAAGGACGAGGGATGGAGGAGGAGGGGGAGGAGGAGGGATGGAGTGGAAGCTGGAAGAGGGGGAGGTGCAGGCAGGGTAGCTGTGATGATGAGCCCTGGCGGTGGCGATGACGCGTTCGTTGAATGCTGGACGCACCTTGCCCTCGGTGTCGGGTTCGCCCAGGGCCTTGGCGAAGCTGGGCTGCAGACTTGCTGCCGAACATGTTTGACCCAACATCGTGGCTACGGACGCTTTGTCGGGAACGGCGTTAGGGCTTGTCTGTTGGCCTGACAGGCATCAGCAAAATGCTGTCCTGACGGCGCCTGTTGGCTTCAACGCTCACGAGGGTGAGGAAGAGGCGGAGGAGAAATGATCGCAGCAGGTGCCCGCCCCGACGCACCCTGCAGAAACTCATGGGAGCCTTGCGGGTCGTCGAAATGCCGTCCTTTGAGCGAGGGGGAAGCGCCGATTTGGCGTGGATGCGGCGTCGGCCAACGTGGGCATGCTGCGATTCGCAGGGGCCCGCAAGATGGCATGAGAGGCTCTCGTGAGTTGCCAGAGCGACGAGTGCCCCCCCCCGCCGCAGCCCGCGAGGAGGAGGAGGAGGAGGAGGAGGAGGAGGAGGAGGGAGGACCCCCGGCTGCAGGGCGCCAAGCGCTGCCAGTGCAGACCGCGGCCATGCGGCGCGCCGCCGCGGCCTGCTGCGCTCACGGGCGGCGGCGCGCCGCCCGGCGGCGGGCCGCAGGGGCGGCGGCAGGCTGCGACCGCGGGTCGCCCCCCTCGGCTGCTGCGCTGGGCAGGGGGGCGAGATGCGTTGTTGCTGATCCCGCTCCTCTCCTTCTCCTCCTCTTCCTCCGTCTCCTCCCTCCTCCTCCTCCTCCTCCACTTCCTCCTCCTCCTCCTCCTCCTCCTCCTCCTCCTCCTCCTCCTCCTCCTCCCGCGTGGACAGGCAGTGCCAGAGCGGTTACGCTCGACAGCATCGCATCCAGCCAGTACTGCACAGGCTCACTGGCTCTCGTTTTCCACGACGCCGCCATGGCCTCAGCCCCGTGGGCAAAGGATGGTGGAACGAAGCTTGATTGGATGTGTACGTTTTTTGTTGGTTTGCAAGTTTCGTCGTATGAGTGCTACTTCCATCAACAAGCAGCAGTTGCCACAATTGCCACGTGCACAAGAATGCCAGGTTGTTTCGAGAGGTGCCTCCAGATCCCCCGTGCAGGAAGCGCAGGCGAGGAGACGTCGGAGGCAGCAGCCCCTTGGCCAAGCTCGAGCGTCCTCTATAGGAGTTGGAGGCAGATAGCTCGGTTCTCCAGGTTCCCCGAGGTAGCGGCGGTGATGACAGCGACGAATTACATGAGGCCGATGAGCTACGTGAATATATTGACGGATGATTCAAGCATGTGCAGTGGCTGGAGAGCGTCAAGCAGGACTCGGCCAAGGCTCCGCTCTCTGACAAGAAACCCGTTCCAACGAAGCTCACGGCATTTTCACGCAGAGTGCAGCAAGCCCGTAAGCAGAAAGAGAAGTTGGTGCTCGACAAAACCACAGCAGAGAGAAGGTCCTGCAGAAAGCGCAGGAGGCAGTTCAGTCCGCAGCTGAGGCCTTGGAGCTACGACAGCAAGCCTGCGATAAGTTGGAGGAAGAGCCACGCAGTCTATCATCGGTGCGCGCTGATGTGCAGGTGGTGGAGGCTTCCAGTTTGGAGAAGCTGGAGTTCGAGGAAGTCAAGCTCGCCACACGCTTTCACAAGCTGGAGGGGGTTGTGAATACAGAGAAGCTCGCCTCCATATTGGCCCAGATGCTCAAGACCCAGCCTGGAGACACCACAGCAGAGCCAGCGGAGAAGCAGCAGACTACCGCTCTCCCACAGCCACAGCTTCAGCAACCGCGTCCAGCGAGCCTACCAGCATGGAAAATAGACGCCGTGGGGCTCGACACCTTACGAAAGGATGCGCGGGGTCTCGTGGGTGAGGCAGGCGAGGAGGAGGCGATCATAACGACCGCTAGAGAGTTGGCAGCAGGAGGCCCACAGGCCCAGACGGCTAAACAACCCGAACTATGGATTGCCCCCTCGTGCCATTGGTTGGTGCGGTTGCAGGGGGCGGACGTCGAACCCCTTACCACATGAAGTTTCCCCTTCAGTTGAGGCGGTTCCCTTGCTTGGACCATTAAAAGCTGAAGTTGCCGAATTGTTGCGCGGGGGATTTCGAGGCTGATGCGGCTTTCGCTTGCGCGCCGCCTTCTGTTTGACCAGCAGCGCAGGCTGGGAAGACGCGTGGTCGAACAGCGGGCTAATCAAACGTTTGAGTTGGGCAGGCGATGCGCATGTATGTATGAGGGCGGAGACGACGGCCCCAGTGACGCTCACGACCTACCAACACCTGGTCCACGTTTCAGGGCTTCTCGAGTGGCTGGTGCTGGACAATGGCGTTCAGGCTGACGCGGTCTTTGTCCAGGAGCACGGGTTGGGAGCTGGAGATAAGCCCAGGTCAGCACAGTCGTGGGCCCTCCAGCGTGGGCACAAGTTTCTCGGCAACGGTTGCATCGTCAAGAGGGTTGGGGGCGACAGCCGCATCTAGCGGGGCGGGTATCAACACCCTCGCTACCAGTGCATGGAGTCTTTGAAAAGGCGAGGGTGAGTTTTCAGAGGACGATGCTCGGGAGTTGTGATGGTATGTTTGTTTCGAGTTGACTCGCGTTATTTGCAGCTCCCATGCTTCGGGATAGCAAGAGTCGCGTTGCTGATATTTTGCCGCTTCTGTTCGTTGCATGTTTTCTTCTACGTGCAGAGCATCAATGTTCTGGGGCATACCCGAGGCAGGGCGGTCACGCTACGTCTTGGGAGCCTCGAGGGGACGAGTTTTGTGTTCAGAAGGGTTAAGCAATAACCCTTCCTCATGCCTGCGAAAGGGCAGCCTTCCGTTCCAGGCAGCGTCTCGTCCTGGCGAGGCCACGATTTCATTCAGGGGGAGTCGGTGCGCTGTCTGGCGTGACAGTAGTTCAAGGCTGCCGAGCATGATTTGTGCCTGTTGCTTGCTGTGCCGCAGGTAGATCGAAAGAGACAGATTGCGGCCGCGAGTCTGGCTGCCCCCTGGAACAGAGTTCCTCGGCCCGCGAGTGGGGTAGGAGCCTTAGGCGAAAGGCCAGCCCTCTAACCCAGCAGTGGTTGTCGATCAGGCGCCTCGACATGCAAGGGATCCGCACTTCAGACGCCGCCAGCTCTGCCCAACAGGGGTCGCGCGCGAGAGCGGTTGTGGAGTTTGGGGGGGGGGTTGGGAGTCTGTGTCGGGGGACTCAGGGTCATCACCAACGCTAATGTTTGCAATCTTTAGAGGGCCCGGGCAGCAAAGCGAATGCCTGTTAACTAGTACAGCAGATTGTGCTGACGCGCGCGGCTGCAGACGCAGCCGTCGCCACATAGAGCTGGGCGGAGTTGTCGAAGGTTTCCTCAAGAACGGAGGTGGCCCAGCAGTTCCATTAATAGGGGGCGAACTCAAATATTACATCTCCCTTGAGACTGGCGAGAGCGAAGGGGAATGGGAGTAGGCGCTGGCACAAGTGGTGGCCAGTCCTCATCCATGCGTTTCTTGCTTCCGAATGCGAAGTGGACGGTGGAGGGTATTCGCCGGCGTTCTGCACGACGTTCTGTAATTATTGCAACAGGGCGTCGAAGACGCATGAGGGCTTGGCGCGAGATTGTCAAGGGGTGGAGTGGCTGAGAGCGCGAGGCGCTTCGTCAACCTGAAGGATCTGCAGAGTTGGAAAACCCAGAAAGATCATGCGCCAGGTCACGAAATGGATTCACCCTCTGGTCGGCTCTATGGTAGAGAGGCCCGCGGGTCAGCAGTCCGACCGCCTTTCGTATCAGTACTTGCATGCCCCTCGTGCGCTGGCGAAGTACGGCATGAGGAAGCTACCCACTTCGGCCGTGCCAGAGTGGAGGAGGAGGAAGAATACGATGACCAGGCTCGTGTCGCAGCAGGTGCGCCCTTTCCTGGTCACTAGGAATTTGCTAGATGTTCTCCCTTGGGCACCGTATGTGTTGGGGCCATCCAGCCAGTTTGTGCTGGGTGGCAGTTTGAACGGCGGTTTGCGATCCTGTTCGTCGGCGTCGCCGCCGTGTTCAATTTCCCTTCTGGCTCCACGAGCGCGAAGGAGACCAGGGAGGTGCTGTGGGCCCGCGGCGCCGTCAGCGCCAGCGGACCCCTCCCCGTGGGCACCTTTGCTGTTCGACGGCTACCGCCCATCGGCTCTCCGTTTGCTTCCTCGCTCATCCTTCCATTCCGTTTTTCCTTCTGAATAGTTCCTTTTTGTCGCGCCCCGAGGCGCGTCGGTAGGGCGGGGCGGTAGTTTCGCCTGAGACTTCTTCACCATGTATGCCCCTGAAGCTGAATATGCGTAAGGGATTCGCAGATGCTGGGCGGGACGTGTTCAAGCCAGAGCGTTTGTTACACAACGCTGCGCACATTGAAAACAACTTGTAAGAGCTGCACTGTAGAAGGGCGGGCCGTTTCCAAAATGTGGTTCTCGCCTGAGCGCTGCGCCTATCCGTCTGAAAACATGCAAGGGCTTCACGGATGTAGGGCGGCTGTTTTCATCATAGGATTCTCGTTTCAGCGCCGCGCACGTTCGTCTTACACAGTTGCAAACGGGTTACGGATGGATGGAGGTTCCTTTTGAATATGTGGCTCTCGCCTTGGCGCCGCGCGCATTTTTGTAAAGAGTGTACAGTTTTTTCAAGGTTTCTCAAGGTGAACGAAACAGAAACGGTGATTTGGCACGATGTTCCAACTCGGGACCTATGACGATGGAGCTGCCTTGGGTTTACACTGGCCCTCCTCTTCCTCCTCTTCCTTCCTCCTCTTCCTCCTCCTCCTTTTCTTCCCATTGCCATGTTTAGCTGGTTTATGGTTCCCTCGCCCGCACATGATGTTGAAAACGTTGGGGGCGGTTTTGGTCTAGTTTTCAAGATGCTGCGTTCACCGTTTCGGGGGTCAGGTTGTTTTCAATTGTTTGGGGATTCTTATTCGCGCCACTCATTTTCGGTGCTGTTCTGTTTTGTACTCCCGTTGTTTCTGTTTTGGGTTGCAGTTTCCCCCCCCCCCTCCCCCCCCCGCGTGTCGTTTGGCAGAACAGCCACACACTGAACACGAATAAAAACGCCGCCAATATGTCCAACATCAAATAAGCCCCCGCACCCCTCGGAAACTTTAGGGGGTCCGCGTAGATGGGGTCGAAGGCTTCTGCCGATGCATCGGTGATGCGGCGCGATGTGAGGCCCAACCTTGTCCGAGCCGACGTCGCCGAGGGATCGGCGATGCGCCGCGATCCTACGACCCCATTAACTCGGAACCAAGAGGGGAGACCTCTTTTGAAGGGCGCAGGAAAGCGCGATTGTTGGCCCCCTACGCCCCCCTCTTAAACGAAGCCAGGACCGGGACACCATCGGATCCAGATAGATCGGGGATCTTTGAAATCTGGCGGCGTGTCCTTCGCCGCGGCCATTCCAGAGCGCTCCAGAACGCTCTGGGAGCCTTCCAGGACGTTCTGGAGCGATTTGTCCCGTTCCTGGACCGACCCTCCCTCGGCCCGCGCCCTGGCGGGAGCGCCCTCCTGGCTTGGCCACTGAGGCAAATACACCGATCCTGGAGATTTCGTTTCATCCTCTGGCTCGTAGCGGTCGTTACCTGCCCCCCTCTCCCGAGCAACGGTAACCATTTACGATAGAGTGGTGGTGCTCGAGCGCTTCGTATTGCGATCGCAGCGCATCCCCGCCCCGACGTGCCCCACTTCGCCCAAGCGTCACCATTACCCGCCCCCCTTGGGTAACGAACGCTCTTGGGAAGAAGCATCAACAGTTTCAGCCTGACCAGACCAAGGAGAAAAGGGATCAGACAAAGAGTTTGCTCAGCGTGCGGGTCGGCCGGACCGCTTGAGGTGATGCCCAGGGATGCCCAGGGGGCCGCGGTATTGACCTGACTCATTGTGGTCCTGAGGCAGAAGTTTTACGGCTGATTGGCCAGGTCAGTGTTCAGGCGGCTCCAGTGGCACTGAAACAGCTCCCTCAGAGCCCAGCGCTGGCCTGATCCTTTCCATTATCCCTAAACAAGGAAGGGATTCCCCGGGATTGGTTCGGGAGCCCCCTCAAGGGGGAGAGGCCCCCTCCCAAGTCCAGGTCGCTCCCCCCTTCCACCACTGGCCCCAGCCCTCCTTTGCTGCGTCGCCGTGCACGTTGCAAGCCCGTCCTTCAGGCAGTCAATGCTCAGCGGTGTATCTCCTCGCAATGGTCGACGGAAGTGCACGACCGCCCATTCCCAAAGGAACCACGAGCCGATGGGGTCGAGACGGCCCTTGCAGCCAACGCGACAAGTAGAAACCACCCTCCCAGCAGGTACCCCTGGCAATCTTTCCGTCCGCGGGCTAGAAGCACCCAGCCGCATCGTTGTTGGCTCAACGATGCCCTCCGAGCGTTATTATGTAGCTTTGCATGCATCATTTTTGGCAGGGGCCCGTATGAATCGTCAGAAGCCTCTGCCTCCAATTCCCTCGCCGTCTTTGGAACCCCCTTGCCCGCGCAGGCCCGAGTGGATTTATTGCGCTGGCCAGTGGCAGGAGTGCAAGTGCAGGGGAAAAGTCCGCTGGGGCGTCGGCGAGAAGTGGATGGAGATCGAGCCCAAGCCAGGAGACATCGACAGCCCGTCACCCGTGCGGCATGGAGAGTGTCAGACGGCAAGGGCGTGTCTTGAAAGAGGAAGAGGATGAGTTCGGGGAGACTGCGGACGAGGAGAAGGAAGCGGACGAAGATGATGAGGCAGCAGAGGCCTGGTCAAACCAACAGGTTGGCCCGTGAACGGGCTGGCACGATTTGGAAAATCAAAGTCAGTGCACCCTGCACGCATGATGTGAAGGACGTGCACGACGAGTGAGCAAGCTTTGTGCCACTGCGCAGAGGCGGGGGGAAGGGGAGGAGGACGGGAGAGAGGGGGGGGAGGGAGAAAAGAGGCCCGTCCTTATGTCCGCACGTAGTACTCCACGAACGCGTCCTCGTCCTCTTCTGCAATGCTTGTAGTCCAATGAGATGCTGTGCTCAAAGTGTCACGCGTGAAAGATGCCAGCTGGTCGTCCCATCTTGTTGGCGGACGGCCTCGCGCCTCTAGGCACCATGCGTCCTCGCTGTTCTTAATCCGATAGTTGCATGAACCCAACCAGGTTCTGAATCGATTGACTTCAGAGCAAGTTCCAACAAGCGGCGGCAAAACAGAGCGCTCCAATTGTCAACTGGAAAATGCACAAAGGCATCGTTGTCTCTGTCCTTCATGCGTCGCATAGTGTCGGCCCACTCTTCTCCGTCGATTCTTCTCCATCCAACAATCAGGCGGAGCATGTTGCTTTGAATGACGTCTAGAGAACCCAGTTGTTGCTGTGGCAGAGGCAGACATGCTAACCCAAACAATAAAGTCGGTGTTGCCACACATTGAAATACATCGAGCATTCGGTGACCTGACACACTGTGGCCCGTGAGCGCGTGACGATGTTAATGAAATTGTTGCCAAGCTCGTCGAATTCGTTGTCTTAGTTCAGTTGTGGTGCGGTCCTTCAAGTTCGCCGGCAACGTCTTCCCTAGATATTGTAGTAGCTTTCGGCCAGTGCCGCCGATCCGGGTCGCTTGGGGTGCCCCCCAGACTGGGCGGCGACACGTCGCCGACAGACACGCACGCACACGCTCGCAGACATTACGCGCACACACGCACACACACACACGCACACACACACAACACATACAACACATACCCACAGACACACACACGCACACACACACCACACTTACACACGCGCGCCACCTTCGCATGCACATACACACGCACACGCTGGCAACACCTACATACACACACCACGCACACCGCACAAGTACACACACACCACACAACAGACACGCATTTCACAGCCACCTTCGTTTTCCCGCCATTTGTTCCCTGTTTTCCGCTCTTGTCCCGTTCCACTGCTCTCTCCCTCTTTCCCCGATTCCCTTTTTCGCGTACACGGGCAAACATTACCCCACGCACACGCGCCCCCCCCCCTCCCTTCCTTCCCTGGCAGAGCCACCCCGGTAACCCCCCCAGAGGCTGAAGCTAAGCCTCGAGGCTGTCGCTGAGGCTCCTTCGAACTCACACCCCGCGGAACCCCCCCTCCCCCCCCCCCTTCCCCCAATTTCCCGTGCCCGCAAGCGGGACGGGGGACTGGACCCCCCCATCCACGCCACCGGAACCCACGCCACCGTAACCCTCCCATCCTTCCTCCTACCCCGGCAGAGCCACCCAGGCCACCGGACCCCCCCCGTTTTCCCCCAATTTCCCTTGTCCACAGGTGGGACGGCGAACTGGACCCCCCCACACGCCTCCGGAACCCACGCCACCAGACCCCCCCCCTCCCTTCCCCCTACCCCGACAGAACCACCCTGGTCACCCCCTCTTTCTTACACGCACACGCCAGATCAGCGGAGTTGCGCGTGTGCGTGCCGTTCAAGACCTTGATCATGTCGTTTTCGACATCGATAAACGTGGCTCCGGCCGTCTCTTCGGAAGTCAGAACCTTCGTCCTGTCTGGAGTCAGGTGCAAGCCAACGGCTGCCAACTCCTCCATCACCATTTCTAGCATGTTCGCCAACTCGTTTGCCGACTCTGCGTACACGTATCGAACATGTGCGAGCAACCTCCCATTCCCCAAGGGGGTACCAGCATCCCCTACCCGTTGTTTCCAACTGGCCATCGCCATGTCTAATCCAGCATTGAACAACATTGGGCTGATGACGTCTCCCTGTTTGACTCCATGTTGTATTGGGAATGGATGCGTCCCGGCTACGTAACCCGTTTGGTTGGAACACAGCGACGCCAGCAGAGCGACGTGGTCTGCTTCCACACCTTTGCTACGTAGGGCTCGGAACAAGGAAGCGTAGTCGATCCGGTCGGATGCCTTGCGTAATTCGAGAGCTGCGCACCAGAGCGGCACGCCCCATTCGAAGCATTTGCTGCAAGCAACTTCAAAAACCAAGAATGTATCTTCTACCGAATGCTAATTTCTGAAACCAACTTCATCGGGGCCCCGAGAACTTTCCAGGACGCCCCGTAGCCGGAGGTGGAGCATCCGAGAGAGCATGTTGCAGGTCATCTTGAGGACAGCGATCGGCCTCCAATTTCTCGTCTGTGACAGGTCCCGGTCTTGGGCAGCATGGTATACAACATATTTGTCCACGAATCTTCCAGAAGCCCCGTGCGCACCATATCGTTATACATGTGTATCAGGTCGTCCAGGAAAGTGTTGGAGGCATGCTTGAACATTTCTGCGACGATGCCGTCTGTGTCGGCGCCTCTCCTGTTGTTCAGCACCTTGGTTGTTTTGTCAAGCTCTGCCTTCGTGCACGCAGGAACGTTGAAGGGACCTCGATGACCCGATAGTTCCGCAGGCACTTGTTCAGAGGAAGAGAATCTGTCAGTTAGGAACCCTTCGAACGCTTCACGAGCGCATTTTGCTTCACCCAGTTCCTTCCGCTTCCGTGCCGGAAACAGTTTCGCCTCTGCGAGTCGGCGTAGGTCACGGAACTCAGTCAGAGTTTGTTGGGTGCGCATGGCTTTCTGCCTCCGGAGTTCGGCCCGCACTGCTCTGCGAATTCGTATGGAGATGTCTCTTCTGCCAGCAGACCAGCTTGGGAGAGCACGGCGTTGGCGGAGAAGATCTTGGAAATCACCGTCGGCCCAGGAGGGTGGTTGATTGGTCGTTCGTTTGTCATGCCCTGCCGCAACGGTGGTCACGCAAATATCGAGATCGGAAAAAAGGCATGTTGTCGGATACGCATCCACGTCGTGACAATACGCACGATCATCGCCAGGCTCCCAACCTCGAGGGTCATACTTGGTTCTGCGCCTCCGGCCAGATGTCTTGGTACGTACACAGGCGTCTACAGCCCTGTGGTCGGAGCCCAACCACAAAGAAATGACTGCTGCACTCTGTTCCACCCGCGCCGTGCGTAGACTAATGAAAACGATGCGTCAGCGTACTGAAGCCTTAGCGGGAAATTCGCTATTTGAAGGCCGTGTGCCGCTGTAAATTCGCTCAGTCCTTGACCACGGGGCCCAGTATTGAACTGAGAATTCCAACCTCCCCAATGACGACAAGGCTGCCCTTGTTCTGCTTCTGGGACGTGCGCATCGTGCCATCGAGGTCATTGTAAAACGAATCGAGGGCATCCTCGGCAAATCCAGCATGCGGCACGTATACTGCGAAGCATGTGTACAAACGACTATGCATCACAATGTCGATACCAAGAAAACGATAGCTGCATTTACGGTCTTCTCTGATGGGGACGTGGCGCTCGTGTACCAAAATGCCGACGCCTGCAGCGACATAGTCCTCTAGATCGAGAAACAATGTGTGACCGCTCTCGAGTGGGAGTTCAGGTAACGGTGCCCGCGTCTCGCTCAATAAAACAATATCCCTCTGTATGCCTACAAGCTCTGATAATAACTCTGTTAATTGTGCGTTCGTCCTTAATCTTGTGTTCTCTGTGTAAATGTGAAGTTCCCCTGTCAAGATAGGGGGTGGAACTTGATTTGACCGGTGCTGTCCTACTCCTGCCTAGCAGGTTTTCCTTTCCCCTTGCCCTTTGTCAGCGGACTGCTGCAACGAATTCTGGCATTTGTCACGCAAGGCTTTGACATCCACGTCGTTGTGCAGCGCCTCCCACGTTTTCCAATCCACCTTCAACCATGTAAGTTTCAGCTTATAGTCAGAAGTGGTATTGGCCACCAGCACGGCGTCGATCCCGAGTTTCATGGAGCACGCGGTATCGTCGATCTTGATGGACTTCGTTGCGAAACCCCAGCTGACCAAGAGCTTTTTTAAATCAACAAGAAAACGTAGGGGCACTCGAACATGTAGCAGCTGATCCAAATTTGCCCAAACCCTTTTGCTTGAGCACGTGATGGCCTCCGACCGGAACCTCTTCACAGCGCTTTGAAGGTCATCGGGGGTCGCCATTGTTCCAAACACGAGTCCATTATAGGGCTCTCCTTTCATGAACATCTCGGTCGGAGGTGGGATCTGTGTTTTCGGGAGCTCCTCTTTGATAAACTGCTCGGTCTCCGCCAAGGAAGAGGAAGAGAGGCCACCCAAGCCACCGAAGATTGCGGTCACCGATGTTGAATCTGAAGCCCCTTGTGACGTCGTCTGGTGCTCCGCCAAACGAGCCTCGACTGACGCCCAGCTGTCCACTGCACCGAAAGAGCGCGGAGTGACCTAGGCTGATGCCGTCTGGAGTGCTTCCAGTCGCTGCGTAATATTTGCGATGTCATCCCGGACCGGTTGAAGAGCTTCTTCGAGATGGTGTCGGGAGATTCCATGTTCTTTGATTGCCGTGATGTCTTGACGGAGAAGTGTCAGACGTGCATCCAACAGCCGTGCCATGGATGAAATTGTCAGTGGTGTGTGATCATGTGCGTCCTCGAGCTGCTTCTCAAACTCCTGCCGTCGTAGTGGCGTGGGGACATCATCGTCCATCTCCTGCAATGGGCTGGACCCGATCCTTGCTTTCTTGAGCTCCTGCTTGCTCGGCGTGGACATGAGGGGCGTCTCTGCGGAGCTGCTGCCCAATACTTCACCCACTGGAGTGCCCGGCTGCCAAGAATTCGCTGGCATGGAAGACAATCGAAGGAGGCAAAAACAACGTATGTGCGTATGGGAGTAAGATGTAAAGGTGAGTGCAGAAAGGAGGTAGGATGTACAGATGTGGGACCCTTGACCCCTTGACCCAATTGGACCCTTGAGCCAAGCAGTGAATGAGCCGCATTGCCAACTGTCGTGTCTGAGCAGCGGCGAAAGCGGCGTCGATGTGCCACAAGATCCCAGCAACGGCTCAGAGACCGGATCTTGCTCTGGGAGTTTAGTGAAGACGCCGAAGTACAGATCACGTTGGGTTCAGGAGCGGCTCCGGTTTCCGGGCCGCTCTTCAGATCTATGTCGTGGAGCTTGTCCGGGGCCGAGGACCACTGTGACCAGAAATGCCCCTTCGCTGCTTACTCAGTGTTCCGTGTGGTAGCAAGATGGCTCTAGGTCACCCGCGGGGGCGCGAAGATAAGTCGCGCTTCGCGCGTCGCGGCCTGGTCAAGAGCGACTGCCCCTCTCCAAGGGGGCTTTGCGAGGGCTTGAAGACAATCGCGCGTTGTAGATCGCCGGGCGCGAATCGCCAAGTTGGGCGACCCGGAGGATTGCGGTTCAGCCAAGGCGCTCCTTCTTCCGAGGATGGCGGCACCTGGGCAGCGGCGGTGGCCGCCGCGGTGACGCGTGCCCCCGCGGCGTTCTGCCTCCAGGAGAGGCCGACGTCTCGGTCACCTGCAGCATCGCCAAGCTGCCCGACGTCGCCCCTGGTGAGGACGGAGGGGCCGGTGAGTATTTGGATTTGTGGTGGCCCAATGTGTGTGGGTGTGTGTTTTGCGTGCCCCGTTCAGCTCCACCGAGAGCCCACAGCGCATGTTGGCCGTCCGTCGTTGCGCCGCCTGCGTCGTCTACAGGTGCTCGGGTGGGCGAGCACGCGTTGGCGCTGACACTTGTTCCCAGGGCCTTGGGGTGGGGGGCGGAGACTTGCCCGGAGAGGTTCAGCAGCGGCGGCGCCCAAGAGGTAGCCAGATTGGAAATGTCAGCCATATGTTTCGATCTTCCGATGAGCAATTCGTCGTCCCAACTTTTCCTCGTCCGTCTTGGCCAGGCGACGAGCCATCTGACGGGCCCATGAAACATCTCCCTCTCCAGCGTCAGGCCACCTGACCCGTGTCTTGGGCCAGGCTCGCGCTCACAGTTGGGGGCCGCTGCGAGTGCGTTTTTTCATTGTTTGAGTGAAGCATATACGTCACGATGGCTGCAATGTTGTCGCTGCCAGGCGGAGCTCCATGTATGTGAACCCTTCGCAACCCAACATAGGGGTCCTCCATCCTCGAAAGCAAGTCCAAGCAGTTCGGAGCAATGCTTTGTAATGCAATGCGAAACATGGCTTAGAATTTTGTTGCATTGGTTTGCACTGTTGTTTCTTGCTTGGCGTTGTCTGGAAGTGGTGCTCGGCATTGCTTGTCATGACACAGCATTACTTGACATGGCTTCGCCATGGTTGGCTTTGCCAGGCGTTGCTTTGCATTGCTTGGTATGGTTTGGTATTACTTGGCATCGGTGCTTGGCATTTCTTGGCATGGTTGCTTGGGAGTGGTTGGCATTGATTTGCCTTGCTTGGCGTTGCTTGGCATAGCCTATTGCTTAACATTGCTTGGCACCGTTTCTTAACAATGTTGTTTTGTATTGATTTGCATCGTTTGGAACTACTTGGCATTGTTTAGCATTGTTTGGCGTTGCTTGGCATAGCTTGGCATTGCTTGGCATTGCTTTGGCTGAGGGAGGCGGCAAGAAACCAAGACGAAGGAACCCGAGGAAGGCATTAAGGAACCAAGGCCAAGGAATCTGGGCAACGCTGGGCGCTGCCAATGCAAGGAACCCGAACCACTCGGTCTTGGGTGACGTCTCGGTGCGTCTTGGGGAATGCGCCTCTTCTGGCCCCCACTTGCTGGCTCAAGAAACTGGCGCAAGGTTCTGCTGGGATCTTATAAGCGTCCCGTGGGGATCCCATCGGGTCCCGTGGGGATCCCGCGCGCGCCGGCGCCGCCGCAGTGTTGGCGATTGCGGGTAAACCGAGTTGTTTCCGGTTCCTGGCTTCGTCAGCACAACCATGGCGGGGTGCTGCCGCGTTTGCGCGGCCCATGGCGTGGACGGCCCCGCCCTGCCCGGCTTGGACGTATGCGCGACGCATCGGCAGCACGACCTGGCGGTGGCCCCAGCCGGGACCCCGAGCATGGATGAGGCTAGAGGAGCAGGGTTCCGGGCTGACGCAGGCCGCTGCCGGGCTAGTGTTGGAGCACTCCGATGCCACGCAGAAACGTTGTTGAGGCCTTTTTTTTTTTTTTTTTTTTTTTTTGTTTTTTTTTTTTTTTTTTTTTTTTTTTTTTTTTTTTATTTTTTCTTTTCTTTTTGTTGTTTTTTTTTTTTTTTTTTTGTTTATCTTTTTTTCTTTTTTTTTTTTTTTTTTTTTTTTTTTTTTTTTTTTTTTTTTGTTTTTTATTTTTTTTTGTTTTTTTTTTTTTTTTCTTTTTTTTTCCTCCACTTTTTTTTTTTTTTCTTTTTTTTTTTTTTGCTTTTTTTTTTTTTTTTTTTCTTTTTTATTTTTTTTTTTTGCTTTTTTTTTTTTTTTTTTTTTTTTTTTTTTTTTTGTTTTTTTTTTTTTTGTTGCAGGGGGACGGGCGCGGCGGCCATGCAGATCGCAGCACCTCCTGGGATGGGCTGGGATATTCCGCTCTAGGCCTTCAAAGAGTTCGTGGAGCAAGAGGTCATGGACCACTTCGACCTCATCTCGGCGGCGCTGTCTCTTCGCCCTCCAGACCAGCGGGTTCTTACAGTGGAAGCCCCCGCTTCATGGGTTGCCATCGTGCGGCTCCTCGGAAAAATGGCCTAAGACATTGAGTCGGCCAATCCTTGGCAGCGGCTGGGCTTCGGTGAAATGGAAGGTCCCGAGCCTACGTTCCAGGCGATCCAGGCTAGGGCGCGCACGGCGCGCCTCCTGTGCGCCCATGCGCTGAAGATGCGTTGGCCCCAGGGGGACCTCGATGCCGCCAGCTTGGCTTTCGAGGTCTTCGGCCAGAGTGCAGCCACCTGTGCTGCACAGTTGGACGACGTGATCCGGGAAAGGCGACGATTGCGTTCCTCCCGGCTGCCACTCTGGAAAGAATTGGGGGCTCGTGCGCTGCAGATCCTCGCCTCCAGCCGGAATCAGCCCACGGAGCTCTTATGCGCGCAGTGGTCGAGCCTGTTCGGGGACCACGACAGCACGACGCTGACCCAGCCCTCCTTGACCCGCACAGCCGCGTCTCTCCTGGAAAAGGGTGACGTCCAATTTTGGACCACACTTGGGGACAGAGTTGCCATGTTCTGGGCACCCTCAGACAGCAATGCCTTGTCCCGAATTTTGGCAGCTTTCATGCGCCGCGGGGCTGGCGGCGGAGCTCCTGCTTATCTACGGCTGATCGCGCCGCTCCCCATCTTGCCGGGCATGGACACGGTGGAGCATGTTTGGGACTATTGGTACCACCCCCTGCTGGGTGGGAAGTGGGCCTCGCTCGTGTAGGCGGCGGAGTTCTGCCCGCAGCCGCTGGAGATGGTGCCCCCGGGCTCCCACGCTCCGAGGCTTGGAGGGGGCGAACTGGGCCATCCAGGGGGTGGATGAACAAGTGGGCCGTTCATCGGGTGGATGGAAGCGCGGTGGTGCGAGAAATCACAGCTGGGATTGCGGATGGCTCGGCCGTCCACTTTCACCTCGTCCCTCAACCATCTTTGCTGGAATCAGCTCCTGCCAGCTAGACAGCCCTGGGCCCTCTCGACTGTCTCCACTTCTCTTGCGTATTTAATGGTCCCACTGGCTTTCGATCTCTTCTCCCTTCATGTTTTCTCAGTGTCCTCCACACCTGTACTGCTGCCCTTCTAGACGCGGTGCACTCGCCTCGACGTTGGGTTGTCAAAAAAAGGGGGGGGAGGAGGGGAGGAGGAGGAGAAGGAGGAGAAGGAGGAGGAGGGAGAGCTGATAATGGGATGAATGAGGGAGGAGGAGGAAAAGGAGGTTCATAAGGATGAGCATGGAGGACGATGAGGGAGGAGGGCGGGAGCAGGATTGCGGAGGATGATGGAGGAGGAAGGAGGGGGGGCGGAAGGATGAGGACATGTGAGGAGGAGGAGGAGGAGGAGGAGGAGGAGGAGGACGACGACGACGCGGGGCGAAAAGGGAGAAAAGGGACGACGAGGTGCGGGGCGAGAGGGCAGGAATGCTGGCGGGAGGGGGGGATGGAGGGAGGCATGGGAGCAGGAGAAGGGGAGGGAGAGGCGGGGTGGTTTGGGATCGGTGCAAGGGCGCCCTGGGTCGCGGGAGCCAAGGCGGCCAGGCGCGCGAGTACCCTTCCCCCGAGGCGCGGAACGCCTTTCCGAGGGAGCTCTGGGAAGGGGTTCCATGAGCCGGGTGGATGGCCCACTTGGGGCTTCGGAGCATCAGCCGGACGGATGGCCCACTTGGGGCCCTGGACCAGTGCAGGGGTACTGGGTGCCCCGGTGTGATGTTCCATGAGCCGGGTGGATGGCCCACTTGGGGCCTGGGGGCGGCGAGGGGGTTGCGCGCAGGGCGTGCGAGGGTCGGGGGCGTGCATGAGCCGGATGGATGGCCCACTGGGGGCCTCGGGGGGGGCGGCCTCCAGGAGCCGGGTGGATGGCCCACTTGGGGCCTCGGAGCATCAGCCGGACGGATGGCCCACTTGGGGCCTGCATTCGGCCTCCGCGGAACAGCGTTCGGGAAGGGCTGCGCGCCTTCCCGGAACAGCGTTCGGGAAGGGCTGGCGGCGGAGGGAATGGGGAGGGGCGGGAGCGGGAGAGCACGAGGTTGGAAGAAAGGGGCAAATGGAGGGAGGGAAGGGGAAGGGGACGGGGGAAGGCGAAATAGGACAGGGGAGCTGGGGGAAGGGAGGGGGAGGGGGGGGGGAGGGATGAGGGAGGCAGAGTGCGAGAGAAAATGGGCGCGGTTGGCAGATGTAAGTAGCGGGCTAGCATCAGTGAGGCGCTGAACGACACTGGTGTGGGACGCGGGACGACGACGACGACGACGACGACGACGCGGGGCGAAAAGGGGAGTGAAGGGAGAAAAGGGGAGGTGGCGGCGGAGGGGGCAAGGGGCTGCGCGGTGGGCGGAGGCAGGGGGAGGGCCAGCACGGGAGCGTGCACGGGGCAGACCAGGCGAAGTGGCCACTTCGGCGCCACAGAAAGGGCGCGGCGGTCGACGGGCACACCTAGGACGAGAAGGAGAGAGGGTGGCAGAACAGCAATTGTTGACGCTTCGCGTATCCCCACCAGCCCATCCAGAAACGATGCTCAGGGGAGTTGAGGTGATCAGGGAAGTCGGGGAGCATGCAGAATAACAAAGGGCGGGGGAAGCTGTCACAGACCCCGAGAGGGGGAGGATGGAAGAGGAGTCGTCGTCGTCGGAGGAGGAGGAGGAGGAGGAGGAGGAGGAGGACGGAGAAGGAGGAAGAATCGGAGGAGGAGGAGGAGGAGGAGAAGGAGCTTCTTGGGGGTCTTTTGAGGGCCTCTTGGAGGGCTTTGTGGGCGCCTTGGGGCATCTTGGGCGCCTCTTGGGACCCTCTTGAGGCGCTCTGGGGAGCCTTCGGGGCGCTTTTGGGGCCATCTTGGAGGGAGTCGATCAAACAAGAGGGGGGGTTTAATTAGCGTCCCCCCTCGGAAGCCCCTAAAATCGCCTCTTGGACCCCTCTTGGAACGCTCTTGGAGTGCTCTGGGGCGCTCTTG